GAAACAATGGCGTGCATGGCCGGACTACAAGGAGAACGTCCAGAACACTGTAGTCTTCCTGCTTCCTGTTTGTTTAAAATCACAAGCCAGAAAGTTGTTGTAAAAAAACGTTTTGTGGAGTGGTAAGACTAAAAATAGGATCTTGTGGATTCAGTGAGAATATGTCTGATTGGGGGAAAGAAAACAGAACATTCCACAGATAGACCTCATCCGTGACTTGGTTATGTTGTGCAACATATCAGGGCTGATGTAGAGCATCATGTGGACAGCTCCAACTTGACCGGGACATGATTTTTTTTTTTTTTTTCTGCCCTGGATAATGTCACAACGCCAGATGATGCTAAAATCTTGTGGAAACAGGACGGTGGTTAGAACGGATCAGCACTCAACCTGCTTTTAGCTGCACCACTCAGACTCATAAAGATGTAGCTCTTTCTTTATCATAGGGCAAAATATGTTTTTTTTTATTCTCAGATTCTTAGATTGACTTCTAAAATAATCTCTCAGAGAGCAGAGATCAGCTCAATATGTTCACATTACAGTTTTCAATTCCAGCAGGAATACAAGCTATTCAGTGCAAGAGTTCCTAAGATATTTATTGCTTTTTATGGTCAGGAGTTTTCATAGGTTTAAACCATTACAGTCTTCTGAAGAAATTATTAAAGCAGCAATTGTCCCATTAAGTGTTGCTCTATCCAGCATTCCCAGGAGATCAACCATTGTTCTGAGCTCAGTCCTGCAAACTACTGCCAGTTTTATTGAAGTCAGGTTTTTTTTTTACACCACCTCTTATGTAATTTCCCATTAACCATAAAAATGGCTGCAGGTAGCGGAACGCGCCCTCGAAAACGGCAATCAAACTCGGAATTATACAAGAAAAAACACACGTCTGTCTACAAACGTTCATGTGCAAACATAGACATTTGAAAGGTGTCCCAATCTTTCAAACACCTTTGTATTTGTTCTTCAAACTGGAACTTTCTGGAATTATCCATTCATGGAGACTCTGTGAGTCCAAACTAAATATCTTACATTAAACTGTGACCCGAGGCATGCCACATAAATACTACAGTTATCGCTCCTACATATGACACCTCTTGAAAAAGCAAAATGCTTTTGAGGTTTTACAGTCTGGTTTTACACAGCACCGAATCAAGCCTTTTAAAAGTTTTTAATAACAAACTTTTAGCCACTGACTCTGGAGACGTCGTTGTTCTCGTGCTTTTAGACTTTGCTGCCTTTGACACTGTGCAACATCAGATTTTGCTTTCTCGTTTGGAGCAGTGGGTGGGCATTAGAGGAGCAGCACTGGAGTGGTTCAGATCATATCTGAGCGAGCGAACTTTCTGTGTCACCTCCTCTGCTCCGCTTTCATGTGGTGTCCCACAGGGTTCCGTTTTAGGGCCCCTTCTCGTTTGTTTTTATTCACTTTTGCTTGGGTCTATTTTTAGAAAGCACTGAATTTCTTTTCACATGTATTCAGATTAGGGCAGCACAGTGGCGCAATTGGTAGAGCTGCTGCCTATCAGTGAGCAGGTTGCCCTGGTTCAAATCCCTGCCAGGGACCTTTTGGGGCCTGTTCTCTCCGTGCATGAGTGGGTTTTGTCCGAGTAATCCAGTTTCCCCCCACAGACCAAAAATATGCATGTTAGGCTGATTGGTAACTCTAAATTGTCCCTAGATGTGAGTGAGAGAGTGAATGGTTGTTTGACTCGTTTGTCTCTATGTGTCCCTGTGATGGACTTGCAACCCGTCCAGGGTGTTTCACGCCTCTAGCACAGTGATGGCTGGACATGGACACCAGTGACCCCTGCAACCTGAAAAGGATGACTTGGGTAAAGATAATGGATGGATGGATGGATGCAGATGATTGTCAGATTTATATCCCCCTTAAGAAAAAAGACATTTTCCTCCGATCCACTACTGAAATGTTTCTAGGACTTAAGGACCTGGATTGCTCTAAACCCCTTGAATATGAATGAAAAGAAGACTGAGGTCATGTTTTTACCCCACATGTAGATCTGCATTCCTTGGCTCAACATACTGAAGCCTCATACCTGGGTGTCAAAATGAATAATGAACTTAAATTTGAAAATCAAATCAGGGCCGTGGTTAAATCAAGCTCTTTTTCAGTTAAAGCAGCTGTCAAGCCATTTCTTACTAGAATGATGTTCAATACAGTAATCCACTCCTTCATAACCACTGGACTGGATTACTGTAATGCACTTTATATAAGGGTCTGTGTTTCTTTTATTGCTCACCTTCCAAAGATCTAAAACGCTGCTGTACATCTTTTAACTGGCACAAAAAACATGAGCACATTTCCCCATGCTGCACCGGCTGACTGTACATTTTAGGATTCATTTTAAATTTATTTTATTTTTAAAGCCACAAATGTTGCACCTTATCTTACCGAGCTGCTACACGCCCTCCCGTTCTCTCAGGTCAGCAGACCAGCTGCTCCTGAGAGTCTAAAAAAGCTAAACGAAAGCTTTGAGGGGATCGTGTTTCGCTGCTGCTGCTCCTAAAATGTGGAACGACCTGCGTTTGAGCATCAGGCAGACGTCCTCCCTGTCAGTTTTTAAATCACTTCTTAAAACCTATCTCTTCTCCTTGGCTTTGGTTTACTTTTAAATGTTTTTTTAAATTTTAGGTACATAGTGTACTGCATACATACTGCTGCTTGTTTTATTGACTGTAACTGTACAGCACTTTGGTCCTGAGGCTGTTTAAAGTGCTTTATAAATGAAGCTGGTATATGGTAACAGTTTTCAGACTTGAAGGGAAGCATTAACTCTCACAAGCACAACACAGTTTTAAAACATTCTCAGTTTTACTTTCTAAATATTACATTCAGTCATGTGACTGGTGAATATGGATCACTACAGCTAAATTGGATCTACGCCATTAAACTGATTAAAATCAAAGTAAGATACCGAAAGCACATGAATACTGCATATTTTGAATGGCTGACAGTGTTTTCTCCACTTTTCAAAGGCTCAATTTGATTATGAGGATCTATTTAATTATTATTCAATTATTCAGGTGCATAAATAAAAGTCAAAGCGTGTGAAACTTCCACAGTACTTCTGTAGTTTACATAAATGTTTTAATCTGGTGCCAAACACCGACAGAATGCTGAAGATATCCAAGTGTGCTTTAACCTTTTAGGTAATGACAGAAAATGTGTTGACCTAACTCGTTTAGTGACAAATTAATTTTTAAATTCAAAGCCTGAACTCTAAAATTATCCCGTGTGCGTCTGAAAGTTATTAGTCACTCGAGTGAATCTGTTTAAATTTAGCAAAGTGTTTGTAATAAATGGTGTTTCCTGAAAACATAAGAAACCTTTAGTTCATTTTTTTAAAGTTGGGATTTGTGGATAAGTTACAAAGAAATAAAATCTTCTGTGTTGATTCAGTAAACAACTTCAATTTGGAAGTTTGCAGAATCCCTTGTCAAAATATCTGAGCTTTCCCTTTAATGCCTGTCGCTGTGTTCATGTGTCTGTTAGCAAAATATTTCATGAACCACTTGACAAATTTTAATGAAACGCACAAAAAGTAATCACTGGATGTACGTCTACAACTCGTTAACTTTTGGAACTACCTGTTGCAAGATGGCCGCCACAGCTAAATGACCTTAGCAAATACAACAGTTGTCATTTCCCAGTCACATTTACAGATACTGACCTAACATTTGCTGTGGTAGTAGCTGAGACTGATCTTCAACATAACCTTCAAGTGCTAACGGGTTGAACAACGTTCAAGGGTTTTTTTTTTTGTCCTTCGCATCACATGTGAAACAGAATTGTGTACTCAATGTCCCAGTTACACCCAATGTACAACAAGAACAAGATTTTTGCCTAAACCACTAGAATCAGTTCTCCCTTTCTGTTAACAAAATATCTCATGAACAAATGGACAGATTTTAAAGAAACCCTCAGAAAGCCATCATCGGATGAAGATCTACAACTGATTAACGTTTACAGCCGGCCCAGTTCCAGATGACCGCCACAGCTTATCGACACCAGCTAAAATGGCTCTAACTCAGTTATTTCTATGATGAGCTGAGATTTGTTGTGGTAGTAGCTGAGAGATCTTGTTCTAGATTGCGCTTAACATTATTTACAAGATTTGACCAAAACGCCATTCATCTCTCAACAAGATGATCTTTATCCAAAACTCTGCCATAAAAGATATGCCTTTAAATGATCTGAGTAGCTTTCACAGTTGCTTATTGATTATAGACAGGCAGTTTCAGGTGGAGAGAGAGAGAGTCAGGGGCTGAACAGGTGCTGTAGACATGTCTCACACACAGAGAAGGACACTGAGCTTACGTAACCCTCCTCTGACAGCTCCATTCCTGTCAGAGACCCCCCCAGCTCACCTCTGGTTACTCTTGGCCTGTCTCCTGCTCACAGACAGGATGACATCATCACCATGATATGACTGCTGGAGCTGCAACAAGTCCATTAAACTATTACCTTGCACATGATGGGGATTATGCTCCTAAAGTGGCCATTTGGTGTATTAGAGCTCACCAGTTCCTCTGCTCTGGTAGAGGATATTTAGAACTCTAACCACCAGGACATGAAGGATGGACATCTTGGAGAGTGGACAGTGAAAGAATGGCACCAAGGTCACAGGGGGTGGGGGGGTAATCTGACAAGAAAATAATCAATATAGAACACGGTGTCCACTCCTGGAATAAAACAGCCGGATCTTCTCCCTCGCTCACGTGACCCCGCGAGGAAGAGCGTTTAATGAGCATCGAGCGGTGAACAATCTGATCGATGGTCCCGGTAATCTGTGGCCAAACTCAGATTAAAGCAGCAAATATACCGCCTCAGATTATCAACCACCTCCATCCTCTCTGTAGGTTAACACAACTTCCCCCCGCCGCTCTCAGACATCTGCCCTTAAAGAGTTGAGTGAGATGCAGAAGTTTGTGTTCCGGCAGCGCGCGCCGCCGCGTGCACCTCCGGGATCAGACTTTACCTGGTAACACAGGATGCTCTGCGACTCGTTGGCTGTCATGATCCCGGCTGCTCCCGACTTGACCCGGGGAGCGTTCATGGAAGGTGAGAGTTTGTCTCCGCGCGGTCAGAGGACGTTCAGGAGGAAGCCCCGTCAGCAGCTGGCCGCTGCGGCTGCACACCTGTCCACAGCTGGCGGCTCCTTTACATGACGGGAACTGATGGACATCAACAACAGCAACAAAATAGATGATTCTGTTAAATGATGATCTCCGAGCCGCGGCCCCCCCACACACAACTTCTCCACCCCCCGCCCTCCCTGCCTCCGGGTCCTGGCGGCAGAAGCAGGATGCAGAGAGCATCACTGCGGAGGCAGCCAATCAGCGCGCAGATGCGCGCACAGGCTGACGCACTGCTGCGAACCACCGAGGCCAGCGAGTCCAGCTGCTTCACTGTCACACGATGTTCAGCGTGGAGGGACTTCAGCGTTTCACATGATAAATGTGGAGATTCCTGAATACAAGTTGTATCCTCTGTGGAGTGCACGAACCTTTCACCTTTAGAGCTCTTAAATACAAAGAAAGGTTTTCCCGAGACTCCTCTGTGAAACAGGTGTGTGCATGCTGATAACTTAGTTCAGATCTTTTAAAATGGGGTTCTGTGGAGAAGTTTAGACCAGTTAGTATCTTACCTGTTGCAGGTTGCTCATTGAACGATTACAGTTTGAAGAAATAACTGATGGCTAGTCCGAGCAGTAAAGAGGACTGCTGCCAGGGTTAGACAGATACTTCCAGTGCACCTTTGGACCTGTTGGGAACTATCCGGCTGACAGATAATGTGCAGCAGCTCATTTGACCATTTTTCTTACACTCTGGGCTGGGTCCAGTTGCATCTCTTGGCCTGTGCCTCATCCCATGAACCACTGTTCTCCCCTCCCTTCCATCTTGGCGTCTTGGCATCTTGGTGGACCGCCTGAATCCAAAATTCCCAGGCCATTTGTCCCAGTTTAGCCCTGATTGCCGCCAACAACTTCAAATTAAAAAGGTAAAAGTACTGCAGCTAATGTAAATACACTTGTGTAAAAGTTTACACCATTATCTGTTATACATTAAATATTTTGAAAGAAATAATGAAGTATTCCTGACTGTCAGATGTGCTGCAGGGTTCACAGGAAGCTGCTGTTGTTATTTGTGCTTGTTATGATTCAGTTTAAACACCCATGTTAAGTAAAATTCACAGCGTTTGCATAATTCATCACAAAATGTTTGATATTGGAGTTAAGACCAGCAGCAATGCTTCTAATTGTTGGCTTTGTCCATATTAGTCAGTTCAATCAGATATAAAGACTTCTTATCCTCAAACCCGAGGTCACTCAAAGAGCCATCTACAACAGGTAAAACACTAATTTCTCTAATTTCTCACTAATTTCTTTTTTAACTTCAGACTGTGACAAGCACATCAAATTTACCTTTAAGTGCATAAAGCTGAAAATTACAACTCCAAATAACAATACTTGAGCAAGTGTAGCTGATGTTAATTTCAGTACTTGAAAAACCCCATGCATGCGTTTTGGATCATCTTCACTATACGAGAGGTGGGGGACACCCTGGACAAGTCTCCAGTCCATCACAGGGACACATGAGACAAACAACCATTCACTCTCTCACTCATAGGGACAATTCAATTACCAGTCAGCCTAACATGCATGTTACTGGTCTGTGGGAGGAAACTGGAGTACCGGGAGAAAACCCACACATGCACAAAGAGAACATGCAAACTCCACCCAGAAAGGCCCCGGGCCGGGATTTGATCCAGCGACCTGCTCACGGAGAGGCAACAACTCTACCCACTTCACCACCATGCCACCCTGTATTGCTTTCTCATTGACTAATTCTAACAAAAATTATATATTTTAGGATACACTGTGTTACCAATCATGTGTTTAGTTTTAATGGTCATTAAAATCACAAGATAAGATAAAATAGAACTTTATTTATTTATTTTTCATTTACCCTTTATTTATCCAGGTAGTCTCATTGAGCCACGAGAACTCATTTTCAAGAGAGACCTGTTTAGGGAGCAGATGGGCCCAGAGTGGGGCGAATGAGGGTGGGGGCAAGTGTGGGTGCTTCACCTACCCCACCCACATTTTTGATGTTGTCGGGGCTGGGGCATGAACCGGCGATCTTCCGATCACAGGCCCACCTTCTCTAACCTCTGCGCCACCACTCCCCTATTATTGATCCTGCAGGAAATTGTTGTGCCAGAGTTTCACTACAGAGGAACATACACAAGGATATATACTATTATTAATGTTTGTAATAACTGTTTAGTTTTCCATATTAACCTGCTGGTCATGGCATTCTGATTAAAGGTTAAAACAACATTAGTTAAATAATACTGTATATCGATAAATTTACACATTTTTTTAAATTATTATTATTAGTTCAGCTGTGGGCAGCACGGTGGCGCAACTGGTAGAGCTGCTGCCTCTCAGTGAGCAGGTCCTTGGTTCAAACCCCGGTCCAGGGGCCTTTCTGGGTGGAGTTTGCATGTTCTCTCCGTGCATGCGTGGGTTTTCTCCGGGGGCTCCGGTTTCCTCCCACAGACCAAAAACATGCATGTTAGGCTGATTGGTAACTCTAAAATTGTCCCTAGGTGTGAATGAGAGAGTGAATGGTTGTTTGTCTCGTTTGTCTCTATGTGGCCCTGTGATGGACTTGCGACCCGTCCAGGGTGTACCCCGCCCCTCGCACAGTGATTGCTGGACATGGGCACCAGCGACCCCTGTGACCCAAAATGGAATAAGCGGGTAAAGATAATAGATGGATGGATGGATAGTTCAGCTGTTCTCTCTAGAGGGGTCTCCACAGCGAGTCATCCTCCTCCATCTCACTCTGTCCTCACGCCAACTACCTCCATGTCCTCTCTAACTGCATCCATATATCTCCTCTTTGTCTTTTTCCTGGCAGCTGCATTTCTAACATCCTTCTACCAGTATACCCACTGTCCCTTCTCTGGACATGTCCAAACCACTGTCCCTCCTCTGGACATGTCCAAACCATCTCAGTCTTGCTTCTAATTTTATTTCCCAGTTGTTCAACCTGTGCTGTACCTCTGATGATCTCATTCCTAATCTTATCCATCCTTGTGAAAACCTCAACATCTTCATTTCTGCCACTTCCAGTTCTTTCTCCTGTCTTTTTGTCAGTGCCACTGTCTCCAGATCATACAACATAGCTGGTCTCACCTCTGTCTTGTAAACTTTTCTTCTGACCTTTGCTGACACCCTTTTTGTCACAAATCACTCCTGAAACTTTTCTCCATCCACTCCATCCTGCCTGGACTCTCTTTGGCACCTCTTTGCCACACTCCTCATTTTCCTGGATAGTGGACCCCAAGTACTTGAAGTCCTGCACCTTTGTGACCTCTGCTCCTTGTAGCCTCACTGTTCCACCTCCTCCCTCTCATTCACACACATGTACTCTGTCTTACTACGACTGACTTTCATTCCTCTTCTTTGAAGTGCATACCTCCACCTCGCAAAGTTCTCTTCCACCTGTTCCCTGTTCTCACGACAGATCACATCATCTACAAACATCATAGTCCACGGGGATTCCTGTCTGACCTCATCTGTTAGTCGGTTCATCACCAGAGCAAACAAGAAGGGGCTCAGAGCCGATCCTTGATGCACTCCCACCTCCACCTTGAAGCTATCTGTCACTCCTGCAGCACATCTCACCACTGTCCTGCTGTCCTCATAAATGTCCTGTACCAGTCTAACTTACTTTTCTGCCACTCCAGAGTTCCTCATGCAACACCACACTTCCCTCCTCGGCACCCTGTCAGATGATTTTTCTAAATCCACAAAGAAGAAGAAAGAAAAAAGTGCTAATTCCCCTGTAGTTGCTACAACTCTGCACATCACCCTTGTTCTTATAAACGGGCACCAGCACACTTCTCCTCCAGTGTTCAGGCATTTTGTCGCCCTCAAATATGCCATTGAATATTTGAGTCAAAAACCTCACTGCCATCTCTCCAAGACATTTCCAAACCTCCACTGGTATGTCATCAGTTCCTACTGCCTTCCCCTTCTTAGTCATTTTCAGAGCCTTCCAAACTCCACTCTCACTAATCTTTCCCACTTCTGGGTCCACAGCTTCTACGACTTCTACTTTTTTCTTCCCCTTAAGTTCTGACACATTCATTATCAACACGTTTGTATTTTGATTACATTTAAGTACATTGAAAATCCCTGAACTGTTGTCATTTAATAAATACAATGTAACAGTGATTCTGTGAGCTGCTGATGAAGTCGCAGCACAGCTCCATATTTGATTTGAAAACATCAGCACATGTTAGAAAGCTTTGTTTGCCATCCATCCAATATCTTTACCCACGTCTTCCTTTTCAGGTCGCGGGGGTCACTGGTGCCCATGTCCAGCCTTCATTGTGCGAGAGGCGGGGGACATCCTGGACAGGTCTCCAGTTCATCACAGGGACACATAGAAATAAACAAGACAAACAAACATTCACTTTCTCACTCACACCTAGGGGCAATTTAGAGTTACCAATCAACCTAACATACATGTTGTTGATCTGTAAGAGGAAACCGGAGAACCTGGAGAAAACCCACACATGCACGGAGAGAACATGCAAACTCCACCCAGAAAGCCCCTGGGCTGGGATTTGAACTGAGGTGACCTGATGAGAGGCAACAGCTCTATCAACTGATCCACCGTGCTGCCTCCATGTGGCTTTGTGTGCCACCTTGTGGAATTCTAAAATACTGTATGATTTAATATGTGTATGCATGAGACATTTAAAGACAAATGGACTTCAGCTCAAGTCTCACAGCTGTTTATTTAAATACAGAACTGCATCTTCTTCCCTTTAATGAACAGCTGACACTTTGCCATCTAAGAAGTCAAAGACCACCACTGTTTCCTCCTAACTTTAACATGTGATCAAAACAACACAAGTCTATCCATCTGCCACACCTGGCTGACTTGGTTTCCATGTTTTCTCCCTTCAGTTCACGGCGCACTGAGTCCAGACCGGAGGAGCACACCGATGATTTATTGTTGTCAGACTCACACTGCATCCACAGCTGTTAGAGAAGGGCATCACTTGTTTTCAAACATGGCTAAATTGAACCTCCATCGACCCACAGTGTCCTGATTTTTTTGGGTACTGTTGTTATGGCAACTATAAACATGATGTGGGAGCATGAATGGTTGTCATGGTAACTGTCTGTGACAGGTCAATAGAAGCCAGAGGCAGACAGAGTGACGATGTCACTACATTCAACAGAGGTTTGACTATTTGTGATTATTGCGTAATCTCACCTATTTTTAGAAGCAGAAATGCATCGTGGGACATATTCGATTCACACTTTCATCATGGCTGCTCGAGCTGTATGTTTTGGGCGTGATTTTGTTTTACATTTCTGCAGTGATCAGAGGAAGATGTGTGTTTGTGGAGCTCGTTCAGGTCATACTTGACTGAAAGCTATTTGCTCTGAGGTGTACACAGCTGGACAAAACACCTGGATGTTCAGACTTGCAGGCAGAGCAAGGAAAAAGGGTGACAGTTTTAATCATATCAAAGTTATACACAGTAGTTCAACTTTTTTTACTTGCCCTTTTGACATCTGACAATTTTTCCTGCTTTGAATACATAATTACACCAGTATTAATAATGTAAAGTTATCACAAAAGCAATTTTGTGCTATTAAAAGTGTTTCTTGTCAAACATTTGTATCCTCTAACGCCCCCACAACCTCTCCTCTTTAGTTATTCCTATAAAGCAACTGGATGTGATGCATGTGGACTCTGACAGGACACTTAATAATGAGGGTAAACTATATGAAATGTGTGTGACAGTATATTATTATTTTTTTGGTACTGACTGGAAATCTATGGCTGGTTCTACAACGATTGCTCCCTTTGGGTTTCTCGCTCAACATATTAACAAAAGCACAAGAAAAGCAAGACAGAGTCTAAGAAAGAGCAACAACAACACAGTGCAAAATTTACAATATTTTAGATCCTTCCAAAATACAAACTTAGATCCATGTGATTCAAAGTAAATTTGACATGTTTCTTCATGCATGCTCTTCAGCTCAGTCTACATGAGTAACAGCTTCATTAAGAGTAACTTTAAATATTCTTGGGACCTCCAGCCAGGGGTGCCAGAGGATGACATGATGATGATGTCGCTGTTTAAAGTGCTTTATAAATAAAATGGTATGGTATGATGAGTTTTAATCCTTTCCGCAGTAACAGTGTCGTGACAAAGACTGGGAGTCATTTGTGATCCAAAACATGCAAAAAGTCCTGCAGAGAGCCCAGGAGCTGGCTGAGCACGGCAAGGCGAGCTTTGAGCTTCATGAAGCGTGCCTTCTGGAAATCTATACTAATTAGATTGCACCATTTAATGCTGTAACCATGCAGCTCTGCTCTGCTGCAGGAGGACAAACTGAGGCTTGTGCTTGATGAACAAATCACTTCCACAGGAGGCCTTCAAGCAAACCATGAAACAAGTTAGACTGTTGTAAAGTTAGCTGTTGCACGTTTCTGTTGATGCTCTCTTCACGTCCACACAATGAAGATGGTAATCACTTCCACAGATCATATTTGAACCCTGACGCAGGATTTCTGCTCAGACCTGCTAAACTTCAATCCCTTTTCCTTCTAACCAACAAAATGTTGCTGCTGGAACCCACTGTCTGCTATAAGACAGAACTTTCCTCCTTTCCCATTATCAGTGAAAATTAGTCATTCCTCCATCAGAAAGTCAAAGCACAGGAGAACATGAGCAGCTCAGAGTTTAAACAGGGGGCAGCTCAAATGTGTCTTTTATTTGTTGCTTTATTGGGCTAAAGCCAGACAAAGAGCACACTATTTATTTTGAATTTAGTTGGATTAAATGGTTACTGTTGGTAAAAATTTAGTAGGATTATATGATTGTAATTATTTTAGATTGCCAGCAGGTGGAGCCAGAGAACAGGCTTTGGTCAGACAGCGACTGTTGCAGAAAATAAAGTTCTTAGAGTGCTTAAAATGCTTTAATGTAACTCATAAATTCGTCATGAGTTCGCATAAAATTGCTACATTGCTAGCCTTTAAATCAGGTGAATAAGTGAAATTTTGCAGACAGGAAGTGCTACATGTATTCAGATGCCCAACATGGCTTATGTGGTGTTTGTCTAAAACCATTAGGCCTCCAGGACTCATTGACTGACATAATTTATTTATTCAACCTGTAACTTAAAGACTAAATTTAATAAAGTAATGGGTGAAAACTTATTCCATGACAGCAAATAAACATTCCTAAACAAAAACGGAAATCAACTTCAACACGTTGAAAGGTTATTTCAGGCTGGTTGTTGACTTCAGTTTGCACAAAAAAACAACAAATCAATACTTGGGCAGCTCCTAAAATGATAGTAGAGATCAATCATGTTGTTGGAAAGCTTGTGATGTCAAATGAAACATTAGGTCTGTGCTGGGATAAACCTAAGCATGAAAGCATTTTCATATAATTATCCAGTTCATTGAACATTAAAGGTTATGATGGGTGCAGGCTTGATTAATATCTCATGCATGTTTTGGTGCACTTCTAGTTTGTTACAGTGACATCGCCTCAGACAGTAAAACTTAGCTCATCAGCTTTTTACACGTATGAATAAATAAAAGCAGAAAGTGTCGCTTTTCTTTTCCAAAACAATTAAAACAACCATCAATGGGAAAAATATTTTTATTAATACACTTAATATGATATATATATATATATATATATATATATATATCAACATTTATAGACAAAATATGTACATCAGACATCTCTCTTTAGGTCCCAAAATAGAAAACCTTAAGTACCTCTCTCTCTATAGAAAACTAGTTTTCTGGTAAAACTTACATTCACATCTCCCCTGTTTACGCCTCAGACTCTAGTATTCATACATTAGAGAAAAACAAAAAAAAACATCTGCAGTTTATCAACTTTTTTCCACAAGTAAAAAGGCAACAGCAAGAACAAACACCGGGTTTGACTTGAGCAGAAACACGTCGAGTAGGTCCAGCACAGTGCTACACAATGTACAGCTTCTGAGGACACGGCATCGTCCGCACTCTCAACTTACTGCCCGGGTGGGCAGAGCGCTAGAACAGGTATCAAAAATAGAAATGTACGTGAAGTTTATGGACAATAATTACACAAATCCATCTCAGCTGGCTGTTTGTCAACAGAAAGATACAAGACACTCGCTTTGGCCATGTGGTGGCCTATCCCTTCATCCAAGGTTGCATCCTCGTCTGCATACACTTCGAGAACATCCTTGAGTTTTATGGTGCCAGCCATCACGTCTGGCTCGAAGGGCGTGTTCCAGTTATCAGAATGGTGAGCAAAGGACATAGGCAACAAACTTTTGGTGACTAACACGGCTAATTTGGTGCAAAGGTTTCAAGAGTACAAAGAGGTGAGTCTTTATCACAACGGCTACAAGATGCGTCAACGTCGTTTACATCTCCACAGCAGCATCGAGAACATTTCTTTCTTTACATTCAACCAACGTGTGTGTGTGTGTGTGTGCAGGGCAGTGTCTGATACATGAGTAAAGAGAAAACAAAATCACTGAGGTTTAAACATTCACCCAGAGCGTTTGCATTCCTCCCAGTGGGGATGGATGCTGCTCTGAACCCTCGTCTGATTGTTTCTACAAGTCATGAAGAAAGCAAAGTGAACGATTACGATCAGCTCCGTCATGTGCACGTCCGTCCCACTGCTGGCTTTGTCTCTGGCTACAAACAAAAAACACATCGTCCTTTCACCTGCTCCTTCATGTTTCGTTTTTATTCTTTGGTTTCCAGGTTGAGCGGTGGTACCTGCTTCAGTGCTTGAAGGAGGGCAGGGGAGTCCATGGGGGTCTGAGATATGGCTGGGGCTGGAGAGCCTCTTCTGGGAGACAGCCCCAGTTGAGGTGGGGGTGGTCTCTCGCTGGACATGGGGGGTGAGGAGCCTCCCACGTTGGGGTACAGCATGGGCACGGCTCCAGGATACCAGCACTTCTCCAGCATTGGCAGATAAGCTGCAGCAGAGGGTGGGATGAGGTAGAACGGCATGCAGAGCGGGTGTGGCGGTGGAGGGTGGCTGGGGGAAACGCTCATGTAGCTACCGTAACCGCTGGAGGACGACGAGGTTGACGACTCCCCGCCCGAGAGCAGCTCATCCTCCGAGGACTCGACGCGGGGCCGTTTGTGGCGAGGTTCATCGCCCTCCTGCTTGATGCCAGAGCTCTGCGGTCGCTTAGGCTGGCTCTCCTGACCGTAATAATCTGGACGACCCTGCAGGGCACCCCCATCACTTTTCTCCAGCTCCCCCCCGTAGCCACTGTCTGTGTCTGTATCGCTGCCGCTCTGCTCGCTGCTGGGCGGAGCATACGCTCGCTGGATGACAGGCACGCAGTTCCTCCCATAGCCCTCCGTGGGCTTAGGGGGTAAGCTGGTGGTTGCCTCCTTGTGAAGTTGGTGCTGTTGGTAGGTTGGGCTCTCCTCGGGTTGAGGGCTGAGAGGGGTGGGGGGTCGGGGCAGACTCTGCAGAACCTCTGCAGCTATTTTGTGAAGGTGGTTCATTAGATGAGATGGAGTTAAGTCTTTGTCCGACTCGTGATTGGCGAGATACTGAAGAACCTCCTTGGCGCACATGTGGAAACCAGAGTGAAACATCTCTTCTGACTGTTCCTGGCTAACGGGTGGCTGCTCTATAAAACAAACAAAACACATCCGTGAGAAACTTAACACACACACACACACACACACACAGGGCGTGCTTTTATTGGAAAACAACCAAAGCAATCTCATCCTGCAGTTATGAACTCATTTGACTATTTAGCATTATGGGCTGCAGCTACCTTACATCACTGTGCATGTTACGTGTGTGCAGCTCACCAATTTGCATGCCGCTCTGCAGAGCGAGGATCTTCTGCTGCTGCTGCTCCAGAAGACAGGTGAGGGCTTTCACATGTTTGAGCGTGAGCTCTAAAACCACAGCCTTCTCCAGATGGCCCAGAGTCTGAGGGAGATGCACACAGTCAGCACATCCTGACTGCTTATCCAACACACACTAAGCTGCACTAATGCTGGGAACATGGCTTTGTCTATTTACTTAATGCAGCAGCTATATAAAAATGTGTGCATTTTTTTTAATGTAGAGTTATTATAACTGTTAAGAGGAAAAGTGGAGCTCAGAAAGTCTGAAAATCCAACATAAAAAATACTTTCTCTTCAGATTTGGCTGCTGACGCACTGGTGCAATACACCAAAGCTGCCACTAGAGGGCGCAGAGTGCCAGCCCACCCTCCCTCCCGGCGTCAGGCTGCAGGGTGAACTTACAGTGAGTTTCAGGTGTTCAGGTAATAAATCTTTCAGCTGAGCGATGCACTCGTTTATCCGATCGCGTCTTTTCTTCTCAATGAGCCTGTGAGGCAGCTTGTAGGTGTCCTGCGGAGAACAAACACACGCGCTGCGTCAATACATGCCCGGGCAGAGGTCCACCCATCGAGGGGAAAGGATCCAGAAGTTATGTCATAGCAGAAATTGGGTCAACCATTTATGGGAATTTATGCCCGCTTTAATCCCTCCCTTGTGGGATTACAAGCTTAAAGCACCGCGGTTTGAATGCATTGACAAGTAACCTGATAATCAAAAAGAGCACACTTACTTTGCTCTCCTCTCCTCCTCTCTTCATTCCCCGCCTGGGTTTATACATATACATCTGGAAATCCATCCTAACGACGCAAACAAATGCAAACAGACGCATTCAGCATAAAACAAATACATAATGACATTATTCTGTGGGGTAGGTGTTTACAGGTTCTTCCAGAGGAACTCACCCCTGCACGTCTGACAGATCAGCCTGATGTTTGGAAAGAGGAGGTGGCTGCACGCTGGGGATTCGCTCCATTCTTTATAATCCGGTAATAAAATAAAAAAATAATAATGCGGCTCCAGTCAAGATTTACCAGCGAGGTCGCAAAACAACACGCATTCGTTTCTCAAAACAACCTGTTCGTCAAGTGTAACAGCAAAAACCGGTCTAAAAAACGTTTACGCGTTTGCCATTTTCTTTTCGCGTATTCTGAATGTAAAACGTGTATTATTATTTTAAGTCATTCCACGCGAGTCGCTCCGCAGAAGGAAGCCGAGCCTCCCTCACGACGCTTTGGGGGGGAAGTGGTGGAGTTGGGAGCGACGAGTTAAATAAACCCTCCGACTCTCCGCTCACGCTAACCTACCTCTCAGTCACATGAGGCTCACGTGTTAAACGGCGCTGTGTCCTCGGCGGGAGGGACGGCCCACTTGTAACAGATCCGGCGCCCGATTGGTCGGAGCGCGAGTGACGTCAGAGGGAGGGCGGGGCGCTGCGGATCCCGTGTATCGCCATGCTGAAGAGTGTGGCAACAAGGCTGGACGAGCGTGGCTGAGACGAAACTGGACGGGATTTCGGCAGGACATGGTGCGAAGGGCGCGTGGAAACAACTGCAACATGAAAACAACGTACAGCGACACAATATACCGCAGTTTCATGGGTAAAAACAACATTAATATTAGAAATGAACGTTTTGCAATCATTGCTGCGTGTATTAGGGAAATCGAAGAGCTAGCTGCAGGTGTAAACTGTTAACTTTATGGAGAGAACAAACGTGCGGTCACGGCAGGTTGTCCACGTGCACCCGAGCGTGGAGTCCGTGACTGTTATGAAGCCATCCTGTCACGTTGATCTCCTCATGGGCTCAGGAGCCTGCTGGTCAGACAAATCACATCCAGCTCATCCTGCACAAGGCAGCTACACCTGTCCACAGACCAGGGTCAAAACAACGCTGCACGTGCACGCACACACCAACACACACGCCCCTTTTTCCAGCACACAATCCTCACGATAAAATGCATCAGAACTTTACAGTTGAATTGCAAAAAGTCAGCCTGTTTGTTGTGCATCAAAAAAGTTACAAATTTGGATTATCGCTCACCACTGAAAGGCGGGTGATAGTGTACTCATGCGTTTGTTAGCTCTGTTATCAAAATATCTCGTGAACCAGTGCATGGATTTTATTGAAACTCTCGGAAAATAATTATTGGATGCACGTCAACAACAGATTCACTTTTGGAGTCAACCTAATTCGGCATGGCCACCACAGCTAACTGATTAATTTAAATTCAAAAATACTTTACTAATCCCAAAAAGAAATGAAATGTTGAAACTCATCCTGGTTTCATTAAAGAGTTGTTCTAGATGCTGATGGCTGTGGGCAGGAAGGATCTCTTGTAGCGGTCTGTCCTACAACGGAGCTGAAGAAGCGTCTGACTGAAGACACTGTTGTTGTGTGACAGTCTGATGAAGAGGATGCTGAGGGTTGTCTGTAATGTTCTTCATTTTATGAGGAATCATTCTATACAATCATCTCCAAAGAAGAGTCCCCAGAACTGAGCCAGCCTTCTTTATGAGCTTGTTGATCTTCTTTAAGTCACTTGCTCTGGTGCTGCTACCCCAGCAGATGATGGCAGAAGAGCTAGCGCTCTCTACAACAGACTTCTAGAAGATATGCAGCATCTTGCTGCAAACACTGAAGGACTTCAGCTTCTCTGCTCTGTCCCTTCATGTAGACGGCTTCACTGTTGCATCTCCAGTCCAGTCTGTTGTCCGATCTAGTCGAGGTGTTATTTGAGCTTGTGAAATGTTAATCATCTGCTCCAAGTTGTAAAAAAAAACCCCCCACATTGTTATGGTTATGCATCATAACAAATGTCCAAAAGTAAAAAAAAAAGTTTCATTAAAAATCCTTCACAGCAGCCGATAGCAGAGGAAATAATCATCAAAAAAATTATATCCAGAAAAAAGAAGAATTAAAGTTTTCAAAGCAATATCTCAGAATGGATGTAACAGATGCAGCCACCTTGAGCAGTACAATTCTAGAATTCAGTGGTTTTAACGAACATAAAAATGACTCGGTTTTACAGATATTGGGCTGAATTTGGTGTACCAGTAGTAAATTTCCAGGCGGTTCCGATTATTCAGATGTCAGGTTTGCGTGAAAGCAGAAATAACTTTAAAGTAACAACAGAGGGTCTATGACACAAGCTCTTTCTGCATGAACACACCAACATTTGTGAAGTATAATCATGTTTTTATAGATACTCCAGAGTGCTGAAAGTAAACTCATATGGGGCAGGCTGGAGGACTCATTAATTACAAAATTACCCTTGCACTTTACATGTCCCAGCAGTTCATATATAATTAAATATTCCTAATATGACAGGAAGATGCTGGAGCCAAAACAGATGTGCAAAAATTCAGGTCTCTTTTGTAAATGAGTCCTTGAGGCTCAATGGGATTAACCTGTATAAATAAAGGTTGAAAGAAATAAAAAAAAAAAAAAAAAAAAATTATATATATATATATATATATATATATTGCATTTTTTTTGTTTGGAGAATACCACTAACAGGAATGAATATTCCACAAATTGGAGTTATTTGTAAACCTTTTGAGTCGTTGCCTTTAGCGTGTTGAAGCCGACAGCCATTTCAATCAGCAGGTCGATGTTCACGCTAACCTCTGAAGCATCAACGTAAACTTCATGGTTGCGACTCGGGGAAATACCGGGCCTTCGTTTTCTTTAGCGTGACATTTGGTTCTGTTCTGACGCAGACACGGTTTTCACCAACAGGTTGTTTTACACACTTATTTATTTAAATAAGCTTCACGGTTGGAATGTACAATCCAGACACAAACCTGCAGTTCTTTGAACAATTTAGTTCAGTCACGCAGCAAGTGACATCTGTAAAAACACGTTTGTTTCCCACGCAAACACTTAAAACTCTCAATCTTTTAGTGATGCTTTACAAAGTGAACAACAAAAACATAATGATCTGGGTGCTACAAAAATATCAGTGCACGGGACTAAACTGATTTAATGTGTACATAACTCTGAGTAGATTGAAGTGAAATAAAGTCTGCACAACATTGCCCCGAAAATCCTAAAGTTTAGACATGTTTCAACTGGAAACCAAAAAGCAAACTAAATAAAAATCAGAACCATAATATTAAAGCAAAAACATGATTTGTTGCGTCTCTCCAGTAAGAAGATACTATATGTCATTTGGAAAAGGTTCTCCGAGGTCAGGGTTATTTATTTTACAAAAAGCTTCCATGCAGCTTAAAATATGTCTTCCTTTTTATCTCAACCGTCCCAGAACAAACAAACGACCTCAGTTTGAGATAGTCGGGAATTCTGAAATTGAAAAACAATCACATGCCTTCATTAAAAATATAAATAAAACAGATAGAATGGGTTTATAACATAATGAAGCCACATTATGGGACTAAAATAATAATTTTGATGTTATGAATTCTGTTTAACCCTGGTGTGTTTTTATATTATGAATAGAAAATAAACTAATTTGAATTAAAAAAAGCAAATATAGTCCAAAAACAGTCAATCCTTTGCATATTCTACAGCATTCCTATTGCTGTCAGATGAAAACTGACTGTGTAGAGGTGGAAAAAAGCCTTTCAATAAACCTGACCTGAGTTTGCTGGTGAAACACTGAGGATTAAAACCTCATCACAAGGACACTTATTGTGAAAACTCCCATCAGCAACACTGACTAAACTTTGGCTGTAATCCAGAAGACAGTCAGAGAAGTCAACTCTAAATTTGCATTCATCTTCTTGACTTATAGGACTGATTCTGACGTCTGGAGGCACTTTGTGCACACTTAACCCACGAGACACGCCCACACCATGGAGCGTTTTAACTTTCCCTTTACACACTCAAAAAATACCTGCAGACTTTAAAAAAACCAACAGCGTCTGGTGAAGAATAACGTCAGGCATTGATCTAAATACATTTGGACACTTTTTGGTATTTTGTAGCGTGTGGGGACCAGTCGGACCCACTCGGGGACTGGTGAAATTGGCCTCAGGCAGGTTGCTGGGGGTTAATATTCAAGTGTGGAGGATGACCCAAAAGTCCAATTCGTTGTTTCTGCTTCCTCTGCTCTGTCATCTGCACAGAGAAACAAACAGAAGAGCACAAAGATGACAGATTCAGCAGCACATCTGTAATCTGGTATTATGAGTTCACTCTGAAGATTCTTTGGAACTGTGTGAAGTTTCTTTATTGGGTTGCTTCATAAAACGTCAGAATAAATTGTTGCCATGGATGGGTATAATCTCAAAAACATGGGATTAAGAGGGTGGGGAGGTGATGGCGGAATAAATCGAGATTATATGGTTGGCCCGGGTCACTCATATCACCCAATGTGGGTCACCCAGTTTTTCTCCTTTGACAGAGAAGTTTTAGTCTCCCTCCGTTTGTGTTCTAATTTTGTTATCAAGGAATAGTCTGGAAATTTTTGAAGTGGTGCTTTGTGGAGAGATTGTCTACAATCCCTATCAGATTATGGAATCTCCACTCTTGTGTGATGTTCTTTCAACATTTTTGTTAAATTTTGTATAAAAATAAATTACAGATGTGCCACAAACCTTTTTTTTTATTTATTAATTTTCTCAATTCCAACCTTCTGGCATTAAGAAACAATAAAAAAGTAGAATGGTTGTTGTCAGTCACTTTGTCTTTTTAGATCAAAGAGGAAAAAAAGTGAAATCAGTCAATAACAAAAAAAAAAAAAAAAGATTTATGAATTTACGTGTTTATGTACTCATGTTTGGTTGCTGGTTTCTAAACATTGCAAATGCATTAAAAACTAATTCTAAACAAATACAATGGGATGTAAAAAAATATCTTCTTTGATTACAATCAGAGTTCTGTTGGGAAGTGTTGGATCCAGAGATTGATTTAGGTTTTGTTTTACATGAGCCTCCTCTCAACAATAGCAGTCCTACTACCAAAGAGGAACCAAAAGACGGAACCCAAATGAAATATAAAGCTGGTGTTCGAGTGATTCCGTCACTTCATACAACAGATACCTGCTCCTTGAGCTCAGTCAGCTGTCCAGACAGGTTGGCCACCAGCCTCATGGTCGATTCCAGCTTCTCCTGCAGGTTCCTGATTTCATTCTGCTCTCCCTCTGCATCGCTGCTCACCAATGACATGGCTCGCATCCGAGGAAACCAGTCCAGGTTGTGCTCCTGTGGTTGACCAAGCATATTGTGTTTGATGTTTGTAAACTAGACTGTTGTGGTAACCTTAAGTGCAGGGCGGCTGTGGCTGAGTGGTTAGAGCAGTCGTCCTCCAATGCAAGAGTTGGGGGTTCGATTCCACCAGCAGTCACATGCCAAAGTGTCCCTGGGCAAGACACCGAACCCCTCATTGCCTCCGATACGTGTCACATCAGTGTATGAATGTGATAAAGCACTGATTAGTCTGTATAGAGCTAGTAGAGTGCTGTATGAATGGGTAAATGAAGACACAGATTGTAGTGTAAAGTGCTTTGAGTAGTTTGAGAAGGTAGAAAGGTCCATTTACCATTTATCATTTAAGTGAAAGTATCTTCTATCAAGAAACACTACATTTTTGCTGGACTTATTTGATCGAGGTGTCTACATTGTAGGACTGCAGAAAACTTACAAGTGTGAATGACCAGAGTCCACAGTCAACAGGAATCAATGAACTCTCATCATGATTTGATCAGTTAAATGGTCAACCCATGGATCATGTATTTTGATTTGGCTTCAGTGACTTCCTCATTGTCATTGCCAGTTGGTTTGTAATTAAATAGGCATAACCAGCTTGTCAGTTGAGATTAAAAAAAGAGGATGTGCACTGGTGTGTGTGTGTGGGTGTGACGAGCCGGTGTATTAGTGTGAGTGAGTAATGTAAACTGAGCAAAACTGCTTGAGAACAGCTGCCAGAAACGTGACACATCCAACCATGCCAAAGAAACGCTTCTCTTTCATATGTGAGTGCAGTGACGGTCAGAGCAACGCCTCAGTTCCATTAAATATATATAAAAGACAAAACGATGACAACATAGATCATTACACTATGAAAAACTCCTTCAGGTAATGTCATACAATTTTTTTTTTTCTTCAAAAATTACCGGTCACATGCCGGCTGCACCTCTGTGACATGTAGTTTGGTTTCAAAAGAGTATATCCTTCTTGTATTATCAACACGTTTACAACAAATAAGCTTTGTAATGGTTTCAAAAACACAAAGTTTGTTTTCTCAGTCATCCAGGTATATAACAACAAAAAAGGTTGAATCATGTCATCTGGACTTCGTTTTTTTGTTAAACAAAAAAACGAAGTCCAGATGACATGATTCAACCTTTTTGTTGAAGCTTTGTAATGTTAGCTAACACAGGGCTAGTTTTAGATTGACTTTTGTTTACCTTGATCATCTCGGCCACATAGCTCTCAGGCCCCGTGTATTCTGTGGAATCTTTGACTTTTACAAGAACAATGAAGTACAGGTAGTGCCACATATTATGCTCCTCCTTGAAGTGCTCTTCAAAAGTCACAGTCTTGTTGTCAAACTTGTCACGCTCCAGACCTGAAACACAGTAATCATTTTTATAGTATTAAAATGGAGTACTACTTTCGAAGAGTTTACAAGACAGTTGTGAGACCAGCTATGTTGTATGGTCTGGATACAGAGACAAAAAGACAGGAGAAAGAACTGGAAATAGCAGGAATGAAGATGCTGAGGTTCTTCGGAATGACAAGTATGTATAAGATTAAGAATGAGATCATCAGAGGTGCAGCACAGGTTGAACAACTGGGAGAATATGTTAGAGGCCAGACTGAGATGGTTTGGATGTGTCCAGAGGAAGGACAGTGGGTATATTGGTAGAAGGATGTTAGAAATGCAGTTGCCAGGTAAAAGACAAAGATGAGATATATGGATACAGTTGAGGACAGAGGCTGCAGAAGACAAAGCGAGGTGGAGAATGACGACTTGCTGTGGAGACTCCTGAAGAGGAAAAAGCCAAAAGAAGAAACTCGAGTACTTAAAAAAAATAACATAAAACAACAAATGAAGTAGAAATACTGTAGCTTCTATTTCAAACATCTTTTAATTGCACATGTTTCCATAATAAGATGAAATGAATATTATTGTGACCCATAGGTATTGGATTAATTACATGTGAAGGGGACCCCCTCACATTTAAAAAAATATTAATTTTTACCCCACCACATTTACCATGAAATATTAGTTCACCCAGCACTGTTTCTATTTCTGAACAAATCCATCCATCCATTTTCTTTACCCGTTTATTCCATTTTGGGTCACGGGGGTCGCTGGTGCCCATGTCCAGCAATCACTGTGCGAGGGGCGGGTACACCCTGGACGGGTCGCAAGTCCATCACAGGGCCACATAGACACAAATGAGACAAACAACCATTCACTTTCTCATTCACACCTAGGGACAATTTAGAGATACCAACCAGCCTAACATGTATGTTTTTGGTCTGTGGGAGGAAACCGGAGCACCCGGAGAAAACCCACGCATGCACGGAGAGAACATGCAAACTCCACCCAGAAAGACCCCTGGACCGGGGTTTGAACCAGGGACCTGCTCGCTGAGAGGCAGCAGCTCTACCAGTTGCGCCACCGTGCTGCCTGAACAAATCCATTCCACTTGATTAATAGGAGAATAGTCAAACCACTAAAAGTCCACTCCTGGTTTTCCTGGTTACCTTCAACAACTCATGCAGTGTTTCCTCTAGGTCACTTGCCTTGGCAGGGTGCTCATCTCTTCTTGGGTTTTTGTTGATGGGACGGGGGTGGAGGGGGAGACACCTCTGTGTTGTGCACTAGCTTAGCACTATGTTAGTGCCTGCAGTTGTCGACCAGAGTGGTGGTGTTAGGATGCGTGAGAGAAGTGGAGTGTGCTCTATTCACACAAGGAGAGCTGTTGGTCAGGCTACTTCTTGTTGTATCGTGCTCTCTAAAATAGTTAATAAATCTATTTTTTACATTTATAGGTAAACATAGGTGTTTAACAACCCGTTAAAATACAACAGAATGCAGGAAATGGCATCTACTTTATTCAAAGTTTTATGGGGGAGGAACCCCAGATCCTACCCCCACCCGGGTGCCCCCCCCCCCCCCGCCCAATATTACAAATGCTTCTGACGCCAATGCTGTAACCATTATTTGACCAGACTTTTTTTTTTTTTTTTTTACAGTAACAGTTTTTTAAAGTTCATGTGCCGGTCATCTAAAGAGAGCACTTTATTTTTCTGTGTCAGTATCTATCTCAGACTGCCTCTATGATGTTGGGATCAGGACTCTGTGGGGGCAGGGCCATCTGTTGCAAGACTTCATGTTCTTCTCATGGCTACGATGGTTATTTATGACTCGAGTCCTTGTCATGTCATGTCATTGTTATTTAGGACTGAAATGACGTGCCTGTGACAGTAGAACATGATCTGTTACATGATGGGTGGGAATACACACACACGACTTGTCTAAGATCTTTAACCAACATTCAGCTTGGCAACTATAGAAAAAAGAAACAGTAAAACGACAAATGCCAGAGCTACCAAAACAGTTGTGGTGAATACGGGAAACAGATTTCAGCTCCAGTCATTTTTGTGGACAAATAATAAAAGTCTGCTCTATATGATTGGCTGATTAGGAAAAATAATGCAGTGTAGGCCACTTTCTTTAAGATGGTTCAATTCATTCATTCAACCTTTATTTAGACAGGTTAATCCCATTGAGCCTCAAGGACTCATTTACAAAAGAGACCCGATTTCAACAAAGAGTGATGATAACAATGGACAAAAACGACAACAATAGACAATCACAAAAGAAACATGCAGATTTTTTTATTTTTATAAATCAAAATAAGAAGGCAAAAAAAGTAGCAAAAAACAGATTATAAGGCGAATGTAGAAAACTAAAAACAGGAACATGTCGCCATTGGTTCTAGCCAGGAGTCCAACAGATGCTTAAAGCCACTTAGAGAGGTCAAAGTCGAGAACTTCAGATCTTTTTGCGAGATATTCCAGGAAACAGGAGCCAAGTTCAGTCCTCACTGAGGGAACACTGTAGGTAATAATGTCCTGAGAGCGCACGCTGTAGCTGCACTCACACAGAGACATGTAGGAGGAGATGTATGAAGTCAGCAGACCAAGAAGTGATTTAAATATGAAAATGTACCAGTGGGAGAGTCTACGTGAAGTTAATGATGACCTGTTAACCAGTGAATACAAGGTGCAGTGGTGGATACGGTAGTTACAGCCAGTTATGAATCTTAGTGCACCATGATAGGCAGCATCCAACATCTGCAGGGTGCTTTTAGGAGCGTTCATGTAAATAATGTCACCGTAATCAATGGAGGGAAGGGAAGTCACAGTTGCAAGGTGTTTCCTAACATTCAGTGTTAGACAGGTTCAAACTATTTACTTGGCTGGCAGGGTGCACAACAGTTCAGCAAAGTCCTTTTCTTTTAAAGCATACTGTTTGTTTTATAACTACAAATCAGCTCTATACAAAATAATACTAATCCATCCATCCATTATCTTTACCCGTTTATTCCATTTTGGGTCACTGGGGTCGCCGGTGCCCATGTCTGGCAATCACTGTGCGAGGGGCGGGGTACACCCTGGATGGGTCGCAAGTCCATCACAGGGACACATAGAGACAAACGAGACAAACAACCATTCACTGTCTCACTCACACCTAGGGACAATTTAGAGTTACCAATCAGCCTAGCATGCATGTTTTTGGTCTGTGGGAGGAAACCGGAGCACCCGGAGAAAACCCATGCATGCACGGAGAGAACATGCAAACTCCACCCAGAAAGGCCCCTGGACCGGGGTTTGAACCAAGGACCTGCTCGCTGAGAGGCAGCAGCTGTACCAGTTGTGCCACCGTGCTGCCTACTAATACTAATATTGTAGAGTATACCCTAAGAGACATTTAAACTTTTTAAGATGACGATTGTTAACTAATCAACTCTGCCATCATACTTGAGTACTGGCTTTTGTATTTGGTCCAACATTTTTATTAATGTCTTTTTTGTATTTAAGATCATACATTTTACTATTAATGTGTTTATGTCTTTTTTGTATTTAAGATCATACATTTTACTATTAATGTGTTTATGATTGTTATTAGTTTCAGTTTTATTCATTAGCTTTTGTACCGTCAACCTGTCCAGAACTGTAGATGAAAAATAGCCTATACAGCTAAATCTGGCACATTTACATGTTTGACGTAAGTACTTATGCTGAGTAATACCACATACCTAATATTATGACCACTATTTTATCTTTATTTTACAGCATGAAGCCTCTGTAAGGCTGATTGCAGACTTTGCACATTTTCTTTTCAACAAATTAAGCTTCATTGCTATGCACGAGTCTGACTTATTTGCAGTTTTTATATAAATGTTTTTTTCCTCTTGTTTCAATACACATTTTTACCACTAAGATCAGTTTGCATTTGTTAAACCATCAGTTCACCTTCTAAACACATAATTTCTCACCGTGTGTAAAGGTTATGTGAAAAATGGATACAGTGATTAAACATGCCATGCCCTCAAACAAATGGCAAGTTTAAAGTAACAACGTAACCTGTTGAAGACAGCTCTTTAAACAACCTCAATCCAGAAAAAACACTTTAATTCTGACTGGATCGACAAGTGAATAGTCTGACCAAGGCCTCAAAAGTGGATATTTACCATCTTAAAACAACTCTAATCTTAAATATTTTTATCACCCTTCAAGCAGAAAATAATTTTCAAACCTTTTCATCGTCAGTTTCATGTTACATAGAAATTTGGCAAAAAAAAAAAAAAAAATGCCACTTCTGCTGGAAAACCTCCAGGCTGCACCAGAAGTGCTATAGCTAGCTGCTGCTGTCCCCATAATTTATATGTAAATAACTATGAAAGGTTTATAAAATATGAAGATTTTGAGATTAGAGGCGTTTTAAAGCTTGGTCTTGCTTGAACTAGCTGTTAGCTTGGCAATCAGGCTAAATTTAAAGTTTATTTTACAAAGCTGAAGTTCAAAGAGCTATTTACAACAGCTAAGATAATAATTGTTGAAATTCTTCTACAGAATCCTACTTCTGGTGTATTTCTTTAAGAACACTCAGCTCAAAGATTGACCAACAGAGTAGTTCTCATAAATGGGAGTTAAACCACATGCTGCTTAGAAACATGCCTCCAAGTCAGTTTGTGATGACTCAACAGTAGAAAAACAATTTCAAAATGATTACTGCTCATCATTCTCCATGTAAGATGGGAGTGAGCCTGCTGTGTTGGACCGAAGTAAATTCAGCAGCAAATAAGAATCAGTCGTGCAGTATGACCATGGCATAAACCAATCGCTGCCTTCAGCTCCCCTGAGATCTACAAACCAATAAAACATCAACAGAATGGCTCATGAAACCAAGCAGGACGTCAGGCCACCTTATTCCTGCAGAGACCAATTCCTAATCTCTGCATTTCCTGTTTTCTTGTGGTCCTTCTGGAAACCATAGGGACAGCAGCTCCCCTTGTGGCCTGGCCTCATTTAACACAAGTGAGTCAG